AGGAAGGAAGGAAGGAAGGAAGGAAGGAAGGAAGGAAGGAAGGAAGGAAGGAAGGAAGGAAGATACTACATGTTTACATTCTGTATCATCTTTACCACCTTAGGATCTTTACTGTGCAAATGTTCAGCATATCAACACTTTTATAAAACTTTTTTTTTTAAAGTCAATCCTTACTTGAGCATTTGTTCATTGTCTTCTTCTCCCACTTTACTAGCTTCACAAGAGATGACCCCAAAGGACCCTACTGGTTGGTGAGTGATAGGAGAAGTGACCTGCTTGGAGGACAAGACAGTCAGTGGAGGTGTCTCTTTGAGAACCGAAGAAAAGGGCAGACAGGTAGCCGTGCAAGAAACAGATAAATTAACTATCTCCATGGCCTTCTTACTCTCAAGTGCCAAGGTCTCTGGCACCGCAGAATGAAACCCCGTGCTATTTGCTACGATCTTGAGATCTCTTTTTTCCAGCTCAATGTTGCATGAGCCACACTCGGATCGGTTGTCCAGCTCAACTTTCTGTAAATGTGTGACTTCTCTACCACAGGTTATAGTGTTGCTGCTGACCAAAGAGGGAGGAGAGTTCCCCTTGGTGAAGTTCAATTCATATGCCAAGTCTGTTGAGTCTGGATTGGTGTAGCAAAATTCCACCATCTCGTTTTCACAGTGGGAGAAGGCATAAACATCTGTGGCATGCAAATTGTGGTCATGACTCAAGTTTGCATCTTCATGGTAGACATCCAGATTAGAAGCATTCATATCCAAATAATTATTGGCTGTTTCTAAACAGTGATCTTCTCTTTCCTCTGGCAACTGGTATTCCACTTGAGGTAGTGGTCCCCCTGTGGCCTCCAAATTACAGTCATTCTCAGGGAAGCTATTAACACTTCTTTGTAAGTGAGCAGTATTAGAATCAGATTTGGGGTGTTCCATCAAAGCACTGGGCAGCTGAGGTCTTCCATCTCGGCAGGCAGAAATATTTCCCACTGAGACCATTCTGGCATTTCCTATTTCCACATACTGCCCACCTGAGATGTTTTGGTCAGGTTCGGATGTATCCATGACTTCCACAGGTTCCTCAGGACTGCTGATCTGAGGAGCAGAGATTGATTTGGTCAACTTGTTGGGCTCCGCTTCTCTTTCTTCTTCCTCATAAGGCAAGGAGCTGATAGACGTAAGGGAGGCTTGTATGCCATTGGGCAGGCTGGTATTGCTTTCTGTGTGTCCGCCTTCTAGGGAATTCCGGTGGGCTGCATGCCCTTTGATAAGCTGGTGAAGGATCTCTCGGTCCCCAGGCAACTCCAAAGCTTTGCTCTTTGCATCAGACCAGGCCACCGAACTGGGTTCGCTTTCGATTCCCGAGTCTGAAATTATGGATGAAGATCTCTTCATAACCCCCGAGGTTGAGACCTCTTCATGCTTTTTCATGTTATGCTGCTTCAGAGGTGACTTTGACTCTTCAACAACTGTTTTTGGGTTTGTTGGAATGGAGTCGAAATTATGATTTAGGCCAAATGCCCTCTGAGTTTTACTACATTGATCTACCAGTGTCTCAGTGAACATTGGTTTGTCAGAAGCAAGAGTAGATTGACAACAATCCCTTTGAGATGCTTGGCTCAAATGAATCCCATCCACGTGTTTAGGAGGTTCACAATTGCCAGCGTCACACTGAACATTCATAACAAGCATTGATTGATTCTGGTGAGCGGTCTTAAACACTGGGTCCATATCCAAATATGGCACCTCTGTGGCGAGCCTATTGTGGTTTTCTGTAAAGCTCATCGGTCCCTTAAAGTTTTTTGAAGGATCTTTCAGGAGATCTGATGGCAAGCTAGATATAACATTGCTTTCCAGGTCTTTCTGAGTGATGTAGGGCTGGATATTGCTGTCCATTGTATATACCTGAGTCATGGATTGAACCTTGAAATTCTTGCCTGTACAGGAGTCACCTTTTGAATAGCCAAAAGGAAACATCAAATTTCTATTTATCCTATCAGTATGAATAACAAAAGGAATGCTGTCCTCCTTTGCTAAAGCAATATCGTGTGAGGAACGTTCTTCATTTCTGTCAAGGTCCACTTGTGAATTGTCCACTGCAGAAATCATGTAGTTTGACAAAATGTCTAACTGAACTGAAAAGGAAAGAAAAATGGAACCATTAGGCACCCATAATATGACAGCGACAGAGAAAATCTTAATACCAAGCCCAAATGAGATTACTATAAAGATATGTGTCAACTCTGAAGCAAACCTGGCTGAAGCCATCTTGTGCTGCCTCATAGTTGCCATGAAGCCTGAGAGGGGGAAGGGAGGGGGGAAGTAGATAGCTCAGCTACAGTCAAAACCAAAAGTTTTCCCTTGGGAACCAAGGTCATCATAACAGGTGGCTGTTTAAGGAGAAGAGGAGCCTGTCATCCCTCTTCATTGGACAAAGTGACTGGTGACACCTAAGAGGTTGTTTTTTTTTTACTGTTTTAATTAGTGAAAACCATGGGAGCTGTTAGAGTTGGTTTTCACTGGCTGTGCCGATATGATGTATCCAATAAACTTGTTCTTTAAGAAATCTACTGCCTCGGAGTTCTGTTTTCAATGGGTGCATTACTCGGAACCCTGACATTAGAATTTAGATGACCAGCTTTCTCAGTCTAGTGATTTTTGGGTCTGACATTCACATGTCCAAATGTACTTCAGCAATCAATGTCAGATGAGCATAGATTAACTCCAAGATTAACACCAGACCATCAATTAAGAAGCAAAACATACCCAGGTCAAGGAACTGCCAAACAAGCTAACAGTAAATAGCCCAACCAAAGAACCCCTATAACCACTCCCACCAACACTGGCAGAGCAATCTACTAGAATGTAAATTGAGAGCAAATCCCACTTCCTACTAGCACTGATGATGTTGTCTAGTTTGGTAATGAAACGCCTGCAAGAAAACAAGCAAGCTCAGATAGCCCCAAGGACCATTCACTGCCATGTTGGCATACAAAACTGTGAACTACAACTCACAATTCCCCTCGTTGTGAGCCATGCAAGCTTGAACTGGTATGAGTTGTATTTTAGCTTCTTTTTCCTTGGCTTACATACATGCTAAGCCTTCTTCAGTGTTCTGCAAAATGGCTAACTCTTCTTTAATTTGTCCTGTTTCTCTTTGAAAAAAAAAGATCAAACTTCTGCATGTGCTCATTGAAGCAGGACTCAGGAGAGAGACTCATTTCTGCCACTTGATCAAATTTTGTTCATGTCTCCTTCACAATGTTTTGTGGATCATCAGATCATTCCTAGGAGGTATAAAAAGTTCCAAGGAGACCCCTACCCCATTGTGAATGAGCAAGAGGTTGTGCGTCCAAAGGCACTCTCCCCAAATTAAAAGGTGGATGCAAGTTTGTGAACCCCTTCCTTACAAATTACAGAAAGAGGACATAATCAGATTAGCTCAGCCATGGACAGAAGATAATATGCCTCTATTGTTTTGCACCAACTCAAGGAAGGTTGGGGAAGAATAGGGAAAGGATCAGCTTCAGAAGGAATTCCTAAGATACACAAGGATACCACAGTCAATAAAGAGACTGCTGGCTATTGAGTTTTGCAAGCATGGTTGTGCAAGAATACAGTTACAGTCCTAACAGTTTCAAAGAAGGCAATTCCAGTTCATGAACGTTACTGGTCCCTGTACAACATCTCTCTCTCTCTCTCTCTCTCTCTCTCTCTCCCTCCCTCCCTCCCTCCCTCTCTCCCTCTCTCTCTCCCTCTCTGTCTTTTCCATCTGTCTGTCTGTCCGTCCGTCCCTCTGTCCCTCCCTCCCTCCTTCTGACATTTTTTCTCACTCTTTGTACAACTATCTTTAATTAAATGAAATTTGGGGATGTAAACAAAAACAAAAAAAAACTTCAAGGCATAAAAAACTAGATCCTATTCCAGGCCCTGTTGACTTTGAACTAAATATTGCTTCTTTTCCCAAGTGGAATAGTGTAATTGCACATAAACCATAATTGCACAAAAAAACCCCAAACTATAATTGCACCTAAAATCATAGTGCAGGAATACAAAAGAAAGCATCCCTGACAGATGGTCGTATAGCGTTCCCATAAACATATCCGGGGAATAGGATCTGGATAATTGCTTCCACTGATGAGCAGCTCTCATTCTTAAAAAAAAAAAAAAATATCTTCCCAGTATTAACTTAGAATCTGCTTTCCTGTGACAAAAATCCATGGTTCCATGTCTAGGATGACCGAAAATCTCCTTGCTTCCTTTGGGCAGTGTTTTTCCTTTGTAATCATGCGCAAGATTCCCTGTCAGCTGTTGCCTTATGCTTGCTATGCTTTGTCATGAACTGTGGGGCAGGAGGGATGGAGAGTGGAATGCTTGGGGAAGCAAAAGTAAAGAGGGCACCTCCTTGAGAAGCTGCCTCAAGGCCATCAAGCTGGAAGAAGGAGGGAGCCCCGTACCAAGCTGTGCCTGGACTGACCATTATGAAAATGTCTCACATGGATTTGATTGGTTACAGTGGGTTGGACAGCAAGAGGCACTTAAGGGGGTGGGGAGTAGAACAGAGGGATCTTGGTGTGCAATTCTCAGCTCTGACTAACTATCAGGCTGCCCACAAGTTAAATCTCTAAACAGAAACGATTCTTGGCTCCATTTGTTGAGAAAAGTACAGATCAAGCAGCCTGACATTCCCTATAGACAGGTAGAACCAAGAACATTTCTTCATCAGTACAAATATATTTGTAGCTCAGGGTTGAAATGAGGGGTTCTTGGTGCTCTCTAAGTTTTCTTGTTTTCTTGCAGATGTTTCATTACCCAAACTAGGTAACCTCATCAATGCTAGTAAGGAGTGTTGTTTGTCAGTTTATATCCTGGTGACTTGCTTGTCTATGTGGGTGTGGGGAGGTTTTAGAGATTATTTGGTTGGGCTGTTTGATGTTGGCTTCTTTTGGCAGTTTCTTGACTGGGGAATTGCTTATTTGATGGTTGCTCTGAAGTTAACCTTGGAATTAAACTATGTTGATCTAGCTGCTGAGTCCTGGTGGATAGGTGCTGAAGTCTTTTTTGTTTTCTCTTGGGCTGCTTGATTGCCTCTTTTGCATAGTCTATAGATGTTGCTAATGTCCATGTGTCTATTGATTTGCTCATTTGTCAGAGTGCTAGGCTTCTAGAAGTTCCCTGGCATTTTTGGACTTGGCCTGGTCTAGGATGGTCCTATTTTTCCCAATTGAAACTATGGCTAAATCTGTTTATATGTTGTGAAACTAAAGAATTTTCATCATGTCTTCTGACCATCAGACCGACTCTCCATCTCTCTCACACACAATTGGCTTTCTTGTACACGTGGCTTGACAATTCCGTCTCACAAATAGCAGTTCTTAAGTAACTGCAGCATTTCACAGATCAAAACGGTTCATTCTGTTCATTCGTTTTAACAGTGAAAGCTCCCAGAAATGAAAAGGAATTCCTAACCCTGCCCACCTTGATAAGGGAAATCAACATATCGGTCCTCAAAGATAATTGGTAGCGTGCTCCAGTCTCCATCAATGTCCAGGCATTCTACAGGAAGAGGTGGCATGCGGGTCAAATACTCAGAATATCGAACTTCGGTTGAAATCCGGTTGTGATGCTGGATGCTGTTGGGAAGGAGATGGAGAAAATCAAAATGTAGCTTTTCATCATCATTAGTTTTTTTTTCCTTCTAATTTTGGGAGAGGAATATTTCCCTCTTCACCTATTAATAATCAATAATCCCATAGTTAATTGTTTCTGAAGATGACAGTTCTATTGGAAGTTAAGAAATGAGTAGAGAGTAACAGGGATGAAGTAATGAGATGAAAAAAAAGGACTTCACACTTTCAGTGGAAGCTCTGCCATCTTTTCCACGGAATGCACATAATTTAGGAACCAATTGTAGGAGAAGAACAGGCAAAGTCTGTGGTGGAATCAAGAGAAGAATCAGCCTAGAGTGTCCCAAAGGTTATTTTCCAAGAGGCAACTGGATTTTCTGGATTTTCTTTGAAGACAATTTGCTTCTCATCCAAGAAGCTTCTTCAGCTCTGCCTGGATAGTGGGGAATGGAAGGATTTATGCTCTTTGCAGACAAAACTGGTCATTTCCATTCTTTTAGAGAGTTGTTGAGGCCACTTGGAGGTTTCTCTCCGTCCTCAGTGTCATCTGAGTGGTGGTAATGGATATGGAGTCTTCTTGGAACTGTTGAAAGGACTGTGTTGTAGACTGGAGATAGATGATGTTATATTCCTTCCCCTCTTTTGAGAGAGAGCTGTTCAGTTTTGACATAGATGGACTCTTTGACCAGCAGCTCTCTCTGTCCAAAATGTGGGCTTTGCTGTCTTCAAAAGAGTGGGATTTGCCTTTTAAATGCAGATGGACTTCTGAATCTAGTCCTGATGGGTTTGTTCTCCCATGTTATGCCATGCCTTTATGAAGTGGTTGTTTTGTTTCCCCTATGTACAGATCTGACCATTATACTGCATATACCATATCTCTCAACAGAGAGGGGGGAGGGATATGACATCATCTATCTCCAGTCTACAATACAGTCCTTTCAAGAGTTCCAAGAAGTCTCCATACCTATTTGCACTACTCAGGTGACCCTGACAACACAGATAAACCCCCAAGTGGCCTCAATGACTTTCTAAAAGAGTGCAAATGATCAGCTGTCTGCAAGGAGTATAAATCCTTCCATTCTCCAACATCCAGTCAGAGCTGAAGAAGCTTCTTGGATGAGAAGTGAAACATCTTCAAAGGAAAACCAGAAAGTCCAGTTGCCTCTTGAAAAAAGCACCTTTGGGACAACCATGACCTGGATGACTGAGAATCTCCATAGACAGTCAACCTAGAGTTATTATGTTCCCACAAATGGTCCAACCTCTCTTGAATTCCATTGACCCTTACCTAACTCAAATTTAGTGCTGACTTTTAGTTGAGCAGATTCTTGGCATGCACAATAAATCAGCTTAACTGGCATTTAATGTGTGGTCCTGATTCTTATTGCCTGGTATCAATAGCTTGATTTAAAGCAGAGATAACTAACATTTGGGCTGGCTAAGCATTATGTTTAGTATTTTTGGAGGGGGGATGAAATGTAGATTAAAGTGATTTTTCATTTGTTTTTGTTCTTTAAATATTACATCTAAGGCAGGGGTGTCAAACTCACATCATCACCGTGGCATTATGTGATGTATCGGGACTTTTTTCCCCTTTGCTAAACCAGGCATGGGCATGGCCAGTACATGATGCATCTGGCCCATGGGATGGGAGTTTGACAGTCCTGGTCTAAGGTAGGGCTTCAGAGCAATGTTTAAATAATGTCTACCCCAAATTGTAGAACATTTCAGGTTCAGCTATAAGGAGCTTCTCTTGAACCTTCACTGTGTCCCCTCTTCAGTTTATTCTTATTAAAGCAGACCAGATAGGTACCAATTGTGAAAAAGTTTCCAAAATTTCCCCCCATGTCCCATTAAACAATCAATGAATTTTATATTATAGAACGTGGAGCCTGGTGGTGACTATCTCAAGAGAAAGCCATAGAGAAAAGAAATACAAGTCTCTATAGCATCTCTCACTTTGATCCCTCTGTCCAACAGCTCTTCAAGGCATCATTCACCACTCATCATTCCCTTGTTTGCCCTCAACCATGAAGTGAAGATGGAAAGAGGAGAACTTCACACATTCAGTGGAAGCTTTACCCCGAACCAGTTATTCTCCCCTAGATGCAAAACCAAAATTAAGTCACCAGGGCCTTCTCTGTTTCAATAAAGGACAATATTTATAGCTCAGGATAGAAATGAGGGATCCTTGGTGCTCTATGAGCTTGGTTATTTTCTCACAGACATTACCCAAACTAGATAACATCAACATCATTAATCATTGGGTAATGAAATATCTGCAATAAAACAACCAAGCTCAGAGAGCATAAAAGATCTCTTCTGTGTTTCTTAAAACCTCTTGCAACAATTCTCCCTTAGAAAAAATAAAGAACATTAATATTTAATATGGGGGTGGAAGAGGAGGAGGAGGGGGGAGGGGAAGGGGAAGGGGAAGAAGAGATGTGATATGGTAAAAAGACAGTGAAAATTACATACAGGCTCTCCTGGAAAGTTGTTGCAGCACATTTTTGATGCTCCGCATAAAAGAAGGCCTCCGAAAATCTCTTCACCTAGTGGAGAAACATATAGCAATGCATATCATCTTCAAAGCAAGCTGTCCTGTCTCATGCAACTAATCCACCTAGAATCAGAGTCAAATGTTGTTGTCACTTGCCTCTCTGTCTTTTTTTGATTAAAAAATAAATAAACAAACCCACTTAGCTAAATTATTCTGATGGAATCAGTCTTTAACCTGACGAGTTCAAAACCATATTGAATAAATGAACCACATAGATGCTACGAAGGATAAACACACTGTCCATTATTTAAATAAATTAATTAATCTGATGAATGTTGTCACCCCTTTTAAACTTTGCACTATTGAATTTTCCCAGTTGGCATTGAAATAATAGAACAATTTCTGTTAAGCAATGCGTTTGATCAAGAGTAATAATGTATTAATATTTTAATAAAATTTAGTTACCAATAACAGAAAGAGCAAGGCTTTGTAAGAAACCTGAAGGAAATCGACTCTCAAGTTTGCATGTACAAAGCAATCCCATAATAGCTCAAAATTAACACCATACACTTCAACCTGATTTCATATCACTTTCTGCTTCTAAGTTGGGCACATCAGAGTTCTGCAAGGTTACCCTTAGAGTGTGATGCTCTTGTACAAGGAATGTTGTGATGTCAGGATGTAGGGTTACAATTGCCAAAAATTGGGTCCACATGGCTAGAAGGTGGGAGCAGAGCCATCCAAGGTCTTTGCTGATCTGCTCTGCTATCTCTTCTGAATTATTCAGCATCTAGAAGGATGAAAGACAATGTCAAGAACAGCTAGCGACAAAGATAATACAACAACATATTGACTTAAAACCTAAAATATTCCTGTTGGGGATCTTACCTGAAACCTATAGTAAAGAGAAAGTACATTTGATTATTCATGTATTAACTGCAGCTAGAATTGTATGCTCAAAATTAGAAAAGCAATGAAATTCCTATTGATGAAAATGTGATCAGAAAAATATTAGAATGTGCAGAAATGAATAGATTAACACTTGCAATTAAAGAGAAGGAGCAAACTGACCATTGTAAGATATGGGAACTATTTTATCGATGGCTGGAGAAAAAATATGAAAGCTAGAAATAGCTAATAAATTAGTGAAATATAGAAAATATGTTAATAGAATTAAACATATTAAGAAGAGGAGTGTTATAGTAATAGAGATATTATGTATATCAACAAGATAAGAATAAGATAAGAATAGAGAATTAATACCAAAGTAATGAACATGGATATAATTTTTAATTGTTATTGCACAAGATATTTGTACCCAGATGACACACTGTTAAATGGAATATGAATTGTATGTACTTTAAATAAAATTTTAAAGAAAATTATAAGAAGAAAGAAAGAAAAGCTAGTGACAAGCTCAGGGTTCAAAACACTTTAACAGACTTTAATGGGCTCTGTCCAACAAAATGGAATTGAATGTGGAGAAAAGCAAAATTTGCCTACACTTAGGCAGGTAAACCAAAGATAACATGTACAGATTAGCTGAAACCTGGCTCAGAAATAGTAACTGTGAGAGGCACCTTGGAGTCCTAGTGGACGATCACTTAATATGAGCCAGCTGTGTGTGTCAGTGGCCAAAAAAGCTAATACAATCCTTGGTTGTATAAACAGAGGCAGTATAAACAGAGGCTTCACTCCGAGAAGCACAAAGCCGAAGACACAAGCCTGAACATGATGAATGAGACTTCATCGAAACGTTGCCTATATACTTCCAATTTTACGCGGGAGAAAACCCGAATAACCAAAGATCCACATACAAACACCCGCGAAAACCTAGAAAACAAATGTATATGTATATACTGTATATATTTGTTTTTGATTAGGGCTAATTCCGTTCTTTTCAGGATCCTTCAGCCACTGTATGTATGTATGTATGTATGTATGTGTGTGTGTATATATATATATGGATCTTTGGTTATTCGGGTTTTCTCCTGCGTAAGATTGGAAGTATCTAGGCAACGTTTCGATGAAGTCTCATTCATCATCTTCAGGCTTGTGTCATTCTGCACAAACAGAAAAATATCCACCATCCTAAGAAACCCTAAAGACAAAATCGAGTTAGAAAACCAAGGAGTATACGAAATCCCGTGCACCGTCTGCCCCACCACATACATTGGACAAACTAACAGAAGAATAAGTGCACGCATTGAAGAACATAAGAACTCAATCAAAAAAGAAGAACCGACCTCTTCCCTGGTCCAACACCTCAAAGCCACAGGACATGAGATTGACTTTAAAAATACCAGAACTATCGCCAAAACCGAACACTTCAACAACAGAATAATCAGAGAAGCCATAGAGATAGAAAAACGCCCACACAGCATGAATAAAAGAGATGACACCTCCCGCCTACCAGCCATTTGGAAACCCGCCCTCATGAACAGATGAGTACCTAACATGAAGAATGACACCAGACCCACACCCACCAGGGCCACACAAGATGCCACCACCACACTTCCACGTAAAAAGCAGACTCACACCCACACAAAAGATGAGACACGACCACGGACCAGAAGCTGCACTGCAGCTGCATCACTACCCACTTCAAACCCCTCCGAGCCATACATGAAGCGAACTGACCCCCACCATGAAGATGCGGCACGACCACGAACTCGAAGCCAAACAGCAAGATCACAGCTCACCAGCTCAAATCCCCAAGCAACTAAGACTAACCTGAGCAGAACCAAGCCCCCACCTGAACAGAACACACCTCCAGCCAATCAGAACACGGCCAACCGCCCAACCAATCAGAACACAGCCAAACCCCCAACCAATGAGAACACACCCTCACCCAATCAGAACACAGCCAAGCCCCCACCCAATCAAGTCACACCCCCACTAGCAGTTAAAAGGAAGAAGCAGCTGCAAGCTCACATCACTCTGAGAAGCACAGAGCAGAAGACACAAGCCTGAAGATGATGAATGAGACTTCATCGAAACGTTGCCTAGATACTTCCAATCTTACGCGGGAGAAAACCCGAATAACCAAAGATACACACACACACACACACACACACACACACACACACACCATGTAGCCAATGATCTACATCTTCAATCCAGGAAGCACCAATGGTCATCACAGCTATATATTTGTCCCTGCTGCTGTTGTATCATTAAAAACATTTTGTGATCCCTAATTAGCTAGGATCACACCAGGAACCACCTGCTTATTCTGCAAAATGCGTCTGCGAAGCTCATAGAATGAAGGATAAGTACAAGCATATGTTTTGCTTTCTTTTCATTTTTGAGAGAGGAAAAATTATTAAGGTACTATATCCAGAGAAAATATTTGAGTAATGTTTGTAGGTGAATACTCATCACAGTCTCATGTAATCATGGGTGGGATTCGAATTTTTTAACACCCCCTCCCCCCGCATGCCCCTTTTTGCCTCCTGGGCCTCAGGGAAGCCTCCTGGGTAAAGCAGTAAGACAGCGATGGAGATCCCAGCACAGCTGATCATTGGAACAGCTGATTGTCGGGAGAAGGAAAAAATACCTTAAGGAGTGACTGGTTGGGGAGGACGCAGTCAGCAATGTCGAGCATGCATGGCACGCTAAGGACTGATTAGTTAGGGAGGGGAGGGCTGGATGGAGAGGGGAGGGACCAGCCAGGGGAATGATTTGCCGGTTGTCCAAACTGCACACAATCATAACAACCAGGTCTATAGAACCAGTCTGAACCGGTAGAATCCCACCCCTGCATGTTATACAAAATCCTATACAAAATGATGATGATGATCATCATCATAATGAAGACAATGGTGAAGATGATGATGGTGATCACAATATACAAAATAAGAATGAACAATCATCTTCACCCTCATCATCAAATTCTAAAGCCTACCGTAGATGTTATAGATTACCTTTCCAAACTGGTCACACTATCCAAATTGGGTCCTAAGAATAATAGAAAACTTCCAGGCTTCTATATTTCTACTTTCATAAATTCCTTTTTAAAAGGAATTTGTGGGAAAAAATCAGCCACGAGCCAAAATATTGCTTTGCTGATTAATTGAGTGAATTAGGTGGCATGGCGGGTGCAAAATATTTATGGAAGGTGGGAAAAAAATGTGCTATTCAACATCTCCACACTTCCTCCATGGTTGTTCACAAGGCCTGTAGTTACAACAACAGAAAAGTGACTTAAGGTTCAGGGTCAAATTGGTGTATAAGAGATTCAAACAGACCTCCTATATCCTAATCTCTTTCCCAGGAATATTCAAACTTTAAGAATAGTTGGAAAGAAACCTTGGAAGTCCTCTAATCCAATTTCCTGCTCAAGCAGGAAATCCTATAACATACTGGACAATGGCTGTCCAGTCTCTTCTTAAAAACCTCCAGTGATGGAACATCCATAACTTCTGGAGGCAAGCTGTTCCATTGGTTGATTGTTCTCATCATTAGGAAATTTCTCCTTAGTACTATGTTGCTTCTCTCCTTGGTTAGTTTCCATTCATTGTTTCTTGTCTTGCCTTTTGATCTTTGGAAAATAGTTTGATCCCCTCATCTTTGTAGGAGTCCCTCAAATATTGGAACACTACTATTATGTCACCCCTAGTCCTTCTTTTCATTAGATTAGACATATCCAATTGCTGTAACCATTTTTATATGTTTTAGCCTGCAGCCCCCTAATAATCTTTGTAACTCTTTTCTGCATTATTTCGAGAGTCTCAATATCTTTTTTTATAATATGGTGACCAAACTGGATGCAGTACTCTAAGTGGGGTCTTATTAAGGCTTTATAAAGCAGTACTAATACTTCAGGTGATCTTTATTCTATCCCTATGTTAATGCAACCTAGCATTGAATTGGCTTTTTTAACTGCTGCCACACACTTCTGGTTCATAAAAGGAAATAAATTGGACCACACTAAAAATAAACCCTTGTAAAGTTTGTGTTAAAACTGATAGGACACAGCTTATTGTATTTTTGCATTTGACGTTAACACTACTTCCAAGTGTTGGAGAAATACCTGCAGGTCTTCAGAAAGTTGCGATAGTGTCTGTTCCACCACAAGATCTTCTAAAAATAAAAAAGGAAGAATAGGAAAATTGATTAGGTGAGGCATATACCTTGAACAAAGACACAAGAAACAGGAAAATCCTTGTCAAATCTTGTCAAAGCACAATCAGGGAATCGGAGAAACTATAAGATTCTTTGTAGATAAAAATTGTGCAAATTAGAAATGCATTCATTCTTTTTTTTTTTCCCCATCAGCAAAGTAGATGCATTTGGCTGATCAGAAAAGGTTAAGGAGTTTCTGACTTATTTAGTCAGAAACAAACAAATCTCAGGGAAGAAAAAAAAAATCAGTGGCAAACCGCTTCCACGTTGTTCCCAGGGAAACTGCACAGTGCAGAAAGCAAGCTTGGTTTCTGAGGATCTTCATTTTTATCATTTGCTTAAACTTTAAAACTTGATTATAAAATGCACACCGAATCAATAGCATCACGCCTTAAGAGGGGATTTCCTGCTTCGAAATCAGAACATACGAGGCCAGAGAGAGAGAGAGAGAAGGGGAGATATAATCACTAAAGATGACATACTTGATATTCAGATAACATGCTTTGGTTTAGATCTGACAGCTTCTTAACCATTGCCAAATAAGATGTCAAAATGTTGCCTTTGAAAAATGCACAACTCCCTGCATAATTAAGAGTAGAATCGAAGGTCATTTTTCACAGGAACACTTGAAAGAACATGAATATGCTACCTCTGTGTATGGTTACCTCTGTGTAATATGTTACCTCTGTGTATGGTTCTACCTATAATCAATTGGGGAGTGGCCTCCCAAAAATGAGCAGACATAAAAACGTCTTCCTTAACATCTACAATCTCAATATCAGGTATCATATTGATGTCTTGATATGTAGAAATGTCAACTATCTATTCATTCCAGGATAAATAATTTAGAGCTTTGGTAGTGATTTAATTTAATTTATTCAATTATTCACTTTGAAAGACACACTACAACCACTTCAGTTAACAGTGGTTTACCTTACTTAAACACACAAACATGCCTGTTTCTAAGCGGGCTAAGAAAAATCAAATTATAGAAGAAGAAAAAAAAACCTGTCAGATATGACTCTTATATTTTTCCAGGATTAACAGGCATGTCATGAGTCACTCTCTGATATTACATAAACCTCTGGGGGAAAAATATCAGTCAAGAAATTGTATGCAACATCGTTTTATTCAATTATCCCATTAAAACAAAACACTGAAAATAGATTTTTCCCAATCAATTAACTGAATTAAACAAACAAAGAGATAAGGTACTGGGAAAGGAGGTAGTCCTCGACTTACTCACAAAAGTGTGCATTAAATTTCTGTTGCTAAGCAGGACAGTTGTTAAGTGAGTTTTGCCTCATTTTAGGACCATTCTTGCCACCGTTGTTAAGTGAATCACTGCAGTTCTTAAGTGAGCAACAGGGCTGTTAAGTAAATCTGACTTCCCCATTGCTTAGCAAAAAGGTGATCACCTAACCTTGGGATGCTGCAACCGTCATAAATATGAACCAGTGGCCTAGAATTCATGATCGTGATGGTCATAAATGTGAAAAAATGGTCATCAGTCACTTTTTTCAGTGTCGTTATAACTTGGAATTGTCACAAAATGAATGATCATTAGTCAAGGACTACCTGTAGCATAGGGATGTGGTGGCTCAGTGGCTAAGATGCTGAGCTTGTCGATCAGAAAGGTTGGCAGATCGGTGGTTCGAATCCCTAGCACCACGTAACGGAGTGAGCTCCTGTTACTTGTCCGAGCTTCTGCCAACCTAGCAGTTTGAAAGCATGTAAAAATGCAAGTAGAAAAATAGGGACCACTTTGGTGGGAAGGTAACAGCATTCTGTGCGCCTTTGGCGTTTAGTCATGCTAGCCACATGACCATGGAGACGTCTTCGGGCGGTGCTGGTTCTTCAGCTTTGTAATGGAGATGAGCATCGCCCCCTAGAGCCGGAAACGACTAGCACGTATGTGTGAGGGAAACCTTTACCTTTTACCTGTAGTATATCTGCATTAGGGTTTATTAACTAAGGATGATGAAGTAATATTTCAAGGGCGAATGCACCCTGAGCTTTATAAAATAGAAAAGCTAATATTCTCCTTTGACTGCAGCCAATAAAGCGACTTGAGCCAAGACAACAAATGAAATGGAGATTTGCATTGTAGGAATGGATTTAAGATTATTAAAATAGTAGGAATGGGTTGTAAACCAGGGAAGAAACTGAGTGTTGGGTTTGTCATCTTCAGTATATTTTGCTTCGCTGGCATCTTGCCATAGAATGCAAGGGGAGGGGAAGAAGATTGGGAAGGAAACCTGGCCAGTGGTGGGATTCCAAATATTTTCCTCCTGGTTCTATGAGAGCACGATTTGTGCACTCATGCGTGCTTTTTGCACAGGCGTGACCTAATGCGCTCTTTGCGCGCACACGTAGCACTCAAACACTGCCCTCGGTATCAGCGCTGGTGACCTCCGCTGTTTTTTTAGCTCAGCTGAGGTGCAGCAATCCGCTCTGCCACGTGAATCAGCTGAGGTAAACAACAAGGAATTGTCAACTAAAAAGATACTCCTTTGCTCTTTTTAGCTGCCAGAAAAAAAGGAGTGGGGGAAAACAAGGCCTTCTTGAAATGCCTAGATAATCACCCCGGTAGCCCAAAGTTGTTGGAGCATAAGAAGGTTATTGGAGAGCATGATGGATGACTCTTGGAGGTGGATGTGTCCCATTGGAGAAGTCATATCCAGGGGGTGGTGGGAAGACCAGGGTCAAGGGGGAAATGTATGATGTAATTTAGTATCGGCTGTACCCAGCCATGCACCAACATGGCAACCTCTAATAAATCAATTTTCTTTTCTCTGAGATGCGGCTAGAGACTTTTTTTTTTTTTTTGAAAATTTTATTTGGGTTTTCACAAAAACAAAATTCAAATAAAACATCTTTCTGAAAAAATAGCATGGTCCCAGGTTATCACTTCTTCATACAGACACAAAACTCAATTTCATGCTCATTTTTATATTCTATTCCATATCTTATTACCATTTTATATTTTCTACATAATTTTCCCCCTCTTCTAATTATCTCAACTTTGTTTTGATTATCTCAATTCAAATCATTATATTTATACTTTTGTCTGTCATGTTACAATTTCACATTATCTTTTCTTATTAAACAAATTGTTCCCTGTAGTTACCAATTAGAGTATGACACCTTTATATCCTTTAATTTTATCCATTCAAGCTCTTATTTAAGCTTCAATGTATAGCTTTAAGATTATAGCATTCAATATAATACATAACTTCCAATCAAATTCTGCTTGGTACATTCTTAAAATAGACACTTTATTCTTAAAAAGAAAAAATTATATATATATGTAAATAAAACACATTCCATTCCAATTCAATTCTATCATTAATATGCATTAAAATCTTAACATCTTTAACATTTCTTTTCAATTGAATATCATACTTCCTTGGGAACATTTATAAACTTTCCATAGTTAATTCTTTTTTTCCCCATATTTCTCACATATTTTTATAAATCATTACTAATAATTAAAAATGTTCCCTTTTAATTCTCTCAATCATTTTAATTCATTCATTTATTAACAAACACCCCCACTGCATTACAATAAATATTTTATCCATCATCATATTTTCTAAAGTTATTTCTATTTGTAATATAACAAAGCTATCTTATGTACCTTTGCAGAATCCCTTTTACAATTAAATTTTCACCCATTATCTGTAAACAAACTTATGGTTACAATCCTTATATCTTTTCCCTGTTTCTCCATTTCTTGTTTCTGTCTTTTACAACTTCTTTTCCTTGCCTTCTTCCCCCTCTCCTTCTCCCTCCCCTTTTTACCCCCTCCTCTCTCTACTTCTCTCTCATCTGTAATCCCCTCTTCTGTTGCTTTCTAATATTATACTTATCTTTCAAATTGTTCTTCT